ATAGTTTTACTATTAAGAGTTATACTCTTAATAGCCTTATTATAATACTACTTAAAAGCTACTCTATAGCATTTAACCTAACTTACTTCCTAAGAAACAGACCTATGATACCTTAGAACCTAAGCCACCGTTACAAATATATAGTATTAATTAATTTATAAGCTATTATTAGCTAATTAAACTTCTTTTAAGTTTATTAAAAGAGCTTTTTATAAACTTAAAAGAAATTTAAAGTAATAATAAAAGCTTTAAAGCTAATAAGCTTATAACCTATTATAATTATATATATTATTCTATTATATAGAATGTAAAGTATAAGTTATACTAATACATATTATAGGTAGTATAAGCCCTAATATACACCCCACCTACCAATCTAGCCGAAGTAACTGTAATTGCTTGTGGAAATCGAACATTTTTGAATCTTTTATCTGTATCACGTGGGGTGTTTGGAGACCTACCTGCCCTAATATACACCCCACCTACTAATCTAGCCGAAGTAACTGTAATTAGTTGTGGAAATCAAACAGCTGCCAGTCGTAGCCCCACCTGGATCTCGGGTCTGCTTACCCTGGACTGGACCCGAGATTCGACGACTCTCTTGAAAGACTGGCTGCCCTCTTGGAAGACTGGATCGCCGAGCACATCTTCTAAAATTCCCCAAAGGGAGTCTTGTTTCATGGCGTTACTTTCAATATTAAACCAATGGGAAACAATTTAGAAGGCACCTCGAAGCAATCGCATTTGCTCGGTGACAGGTGTTGGAACTGCGCCGACCTTCCGGTACTCGTCACGTTGGTCGTAGAAACAGAAGCAAACGACTGTAGCTTGGCTGTTGGGGTCGGAGAGGGTCCGTTCCAATTTAGTCTGGAGGAATTTATAGTCAATATTCTTGGTGGTAAGAAAACCAGGTCAAAGAAGCATAACTCACTCCAACTGTCGGCGTTCTCAGGGCTTAGCGAGATTACGGAAGTTGTTGCGCAACAATCTCAAAAAAGCCAATTTCTCAGAGAGATCTCTCCCTAAATCCTCATTTGATTGTCCTTTACCATTGTCGTCAAGCTCCTATTGTCAAGGCCTTGGTCTGGAATAGCGAAAAAAATGGAAGCACTGCAGGGCAGGAAAACTGCCTTGTCATCTGGACTGCCTTCACTACCTAAATTAGGGCCTACATTCATGTGTCACATCCGAGGCCAATGATGTCCCCAAAGCCGCTTGAGAACATGGGCAACGAGTCGCGAAGCCACATGTCTGGTTGGCTTTTTGACTTGCACAACCCAAACGCGTGAGCAGAAAACCCAGTCACAACCATGATGCCGTAACGAACGAGACCAGTCAGATCTTATAGCCTGAAGCATCTCACAACATGAGCGCTGTGGCCTCTAGCTCATAGGAATGAAAAGACCTACTCCCCAGTCACATTTTCTACAGGGTCAGCAAATTCAGCAAGGTCGACGAAATCCAAATCCACCTTCAAACGATCGGCTTTTACCGCCACTCCCAGGCTTGATGTCCTTGTCCAACTTGTCTAGCGTTGACGGTGTATATAAAACATGACGACAGCCACGCACAATCGCCCCGACAGACTGGAGGCTGCAGCAGGTGTGTATGATCAACCAAGCAGATCGGAAGGTGTAGTCCCACTGAGTAGGCGGAGCAGAATAACTATCTACGAAATTCGTCCTTGGTCAGACATCGGGGGACACTTGAGATCCGAAAAATGAGGAACTTGCGGACGTGCCTCGACTTGTGATTTGGGCGAATGACGGCCAACAACGCCACGGCAAGGGAGAAGACTAAAGCGAGAACCGCTGTTGAATCAGGGAGAAGCGGCGTCATTTTCCGACTCGACGTATTTGTGAAGCGTTGCTTGAATTGTTTGGATCATAGACACTCAAGCGTGAGTGGCAGCAAGGAAAAGTCGGCCAACTTCTGCCAGTGCCAGTCTTGCCAGATGACACTGCAGTATCCTGCGTGATGGTGCTTCAATTATACGAACCAGCAACCAATTACCCTTCCTGGTCGATCCTATTAGACACGAAATCCCCGCCGCCCATGATAGAACTCATGGCGTCTAGTCCGTCACCGCAATGTAGTCTTGTCAACACCAGGTTCATAGAGGCCTGCGATGAGAATGCCTACGATTCTTGAAACTGTAGAGGAATGGGAAGGCAGCGGTTTTTAGCATCGCTTTTGCCCTTTTTGCACTCCGTTTCTCCGGCCACGGAGCTTCTTCTTGTCCGACGCAATAAGAGAGACTTCCTGACTGCCAAGGAGAAGCACATACTTCCGCCCAAAGATGGATAGCTCAAGTTCTCTGAATGGTTGGCTAATGGCTCATGCCAAGGAACGGCTGCTAACTTGCAGCGTCGAAGATGTCCCGATGTCCCTCTCCCCAACCATTTCCGCACCTGATGCCCGACAGGTGGCGGCAAATGTTTGACCAATCATGTCAACTGGTTTGTTTGATGTTTTTTACCCAGCCTACATGGATCCTCGGGAGGGTCGGCCCGTGTGAAACACTGAAGAGCGGGAATTGGACATGTCGGCAAACCTAGGCTGAGACAGGGATCGCGTGCAATTCACGGTTGAACAGAGCCATCTATTTGCCAACTTCTGATCGGCGGCGTAAATTGGGCTCTCAGATTATGTCGGACAAGCAATAGTCTAGGAGCTTACGTGCGTGAGGACTTCGCCACTGGCTAGAACGTTCTCAAAAAGGAATTTGTTCATGATATTGCTCCTCTCACGAGCCAAAGCCTCCCTAGAATACACATCATTAAAGTGTGCCGGCCTCGCTAAGGACTTGGACTTGATTCTCTCCTGTTTAAGCAGGCGAATCTGCCTCACGCGTCGTTAGGCCCATGCTTGCATACCGTGTCTTGTTATACTTGATTGTCCTGACCCAATTATACATAAAGAGGCAGCAGAGTGCCATGATAATAAGGGTCGCGGCGATAAGCGGCGCCAAGATAGAGAAGACGGCGAAGCTGTATGACGCGGATTGCAAGGCATTGTTCTTGCTGAGTTCAGTCAACGTGGGCCCGACCTGCATGGCAGTGAGGACAATGACCATGTAGACAGTCGTGCTGGCCGGCCGAGCAAAATTATCGCGGAAGAAGATGCTATATTGATTCCAGCGGGATATGTAGCTGTCTCCGAGCGGGAACCGCCAGAAGTAGATCTTGTTCGCTGGCGCAGGCGCAGTATGTCTTGGTGGAATCGAGCATCAATGCGCCGGTAGATAGTTTATGTGAGCAGCTGCTCGGCAAAGAGCCCCCCCGCGGGCCACTGTATCTCTGTTGGAAGCGGATTTTTTTCTTTGGCGATGTGCAAGTCTCGTTGGGGCAGCCAGATACATGCACACAGCTGATATGCTCTGTCCAGAAACGCGGCTCGAGTAGAAAGCGAGGAATCGGCTTGAGAAATATCCGGCCGGCCGTCCAGACGAGTTGCATGTCCATCCTTTCTGTAATGCAGATATCTCGGCCGAGAAGAAGTTGGTAATCAATGGGCGTGGTGGCATAGGCGGGAAGCTAGCTAAAGCCGGTTGTGGATGCAGGTGAGCCGTTGCGAATCAAGCTCGTTCTTGACACAGGCCAGGACATCCCGACCTGGGCGGCCAAGTCACCGGAACTCGCGCGGTATGATGAGGACAAGAGCGACAAGAGCTGGTCATTATCGTTAGTGTGCCTATTCTCGTTCTCGATAAGGCGGATGGAGAAAGGCACGACCTGTTAGAAGATTTATTAGACTAGAACGGTTATGAAACAGTGAATAAAAGGATGAAGATGGATTCCGAGCTCTGGTGGTTTTTTAATTTGCCTCCGTTTCAAGGATGTCCGGGAATAAGCTAGATTAACACTACGTGTTTGGGCTGAGAAGAAAAGCATAAGCTAATCTTTCAGCTACTTCAGTAACACCAGTTGACGATAAGCTGAGGCTAAACGAGATATCATCTCCTAGACTTAATGACAAATATAAAGCCTCCCGCGTATAAGTTGGAGAAGATAACGCCCCGAGAGAAATAATGACGGAAATTTGACTTAGACATGCTCGCTCCTTTTACTTAGCCTTGATCCATTGATGGATAGCCTTCAGGCCGTGAAGCCATAATACTATTACGAACACGGTCGAGGACCTAAGCATCCATATCAATGTCAAGCATCCAGCGAAATCATAGAGCGACAAATCATGACGAGCTCAAAGTTGCTATTATTGGCGGCGGGGTTGCTGGTCTATATGCAGCCATCCTTCTGGAGAGCCTCGACATCGACTACCAGATTTTGCAGTTGAGTGAGCGGATTGGAGGGCGGATATTCACCCATGGCTTTGACCAAAAGGCCTGGGATGCTTCGAAGCCGGGACAACCGGATTATTAGGATTACTATGTAAGCCCTCCGGTAAGCCTCGTTGTCAGCCGTCCACTCATCGACGTTGCAGGATGTCCAGGATGTCGGGGCCATGAGATTCCCCGGCATGGATTGAATGAGCCGCATTATTGGAAAGTCAAGCAACTCACTCATTCCCTATATTAACTCGAGGCTCAAGTCAGGGGACCAGCCGGTAAAGCTGATCCCTTGCGTACTCCAAGCCCACAACACATTCCGTCTATTTAACGACAGCCTGGTGTACAACCAAGACCCTCCCTCGGCGCGAACATTTGGTGTTCCGCGTTCTGAAGGCGGAACCATCCAAAACAATGCCTTCGCCGACATGTCCCCTGGCGCCATATTTAGTGCTGCGGTCAGCGACCTGGTTCACTCGTTGGAAGTGAATTTTGAGATGAGAGCGGGTTCAAGAAATTGATGCAATATGACCAGATTTGCGTGCGACAGTATCTGGCCACCAAGGGCTACTCTTCTCAACAGATCGACTGGATTGAGACGGTCAATGATGCCACCACCCATTACAACACCATGTAACTCTCGGAAGCCGTCATCGAAGAGTGGATGTTTAGCGAGTCTCCTCTTGACAGCTGACTTTGCGTGGAAGGCGGCATGGACCGCATCACACACGGAATGGCCAGGATTATCGACCAGACAGTCGAGACTGGCAAACGCGTCAAAGCCATCAAGAGAACTGGCAACGGCGCTGAGACAGAACCAACGGCCATGTTATTAACACAGTGCCTCTGGGAACGGCCATGTTATTAACACAGTGCCTCTGGGAGCCATGTAAGTCATGGATATGACTGACCTTAATCTCGATTACCGAAAGAAGCTTGCTAAGGAAGATTCATTGTGACTCAGCCGACATACTAAGCGTAAGGCTCAGGAATAGATGGTTCGAGATCCTAGATATCTGGCCCTAGCCCTGCCAGCTCAGCTAACTACTCTTTTTAGGTGGGAACATCTCGCCTCGGGCCCCTTCAAAGGCGGACAGTCTTTCTCAGACCTGCCTATCCGCCGGTGTGTATATCCCTCCTACGGTATCAACACCCCGGACGCCCCGGGAACCATGATCGCCTCGTATAAATGGGCTCAGGACAGTGCTCGTCTCGGCGCCTACTGCTCCGGCGATGCGAAACAGAACATTGTAGACGTTGCCCTCCGCAACCTAGCAGCCATGCACAACATAACGTATTAGTACCTCAAATCGCAGTACGTTGACTCGCATCACTGGAACTGGTACCGTGGCGAAAACCCCGGGGCGCGCTCGCCCTCTTTGGCCCCGGGAATCTCAGCACAGTCATGCCGGATTTGATGCAGCCTGGAGCGCATGGAAGGCTGCACTTTGCTGGCGATGCATTGAGTACGGGACGTTCTTGGATCATTGGGGCTGTAAACTCGGCGTACAGGACGGTCGCCGAGGTTTTGGCAGTCGAGAAGATGGATCGCTAGTTGGCCGAGCTGGTGGACAAGTGGAGAGTGATTGACGAGATTGATATCGCATGGTACTCGAACGACACTATGCACAAGTGAGTTGACTGCGAAGCTACTCGAAGATACTATAGTAAAGTTGGATTGCTACCCGTTGGTAGTAACCAAGCTGTTTTATTACTTTGTAGGCTATGGAGTGTAAGGGCTGCTTTATCTATAATCAATTGTATATATACGTTATATTTATTAAAAGAAGCTTAGGTTGAAGAAAGTTTGAAGCTAAGCTCTGTATTGTGAAGAAGACAACAGGGCGTGCAGAGATCGGCCCTGGGCCGAGTATGACAAGCTATCTCACTTATCAGCGTTTTCTTTGACCTCCCTTGGCTCGTGAAAGTGTTCAAGCCACATATACATGCCCCTATACACATCCACGCACTTACAGTGTATTCGTTAACTCATTTACTGCAAAAGACTGGGCTACAATGGTACATACTACCATAGGGCCGTAAGTAGAAACTCGAGGACTGCCGTCCGCCTTCACATGCGCAATAATTCACTCACAGGACTCTGTTATATTCCCCCTAATTTTTTTTCCGTATTTTCTCTCCATTATTCACTCTAGCCCAAAGCCATCGCGGTGATTCACTTAGCAGGCTCTTCCATTTGTCGCACTCTCCTATCCGCTTTGTTCTACCGGGCAGGCTGATAAGAAAAATAAACACCAAAATCATCCGCACCCGTCTGATTACATCCCATGTCGATCAAAAATTGCCAGAGCTGGGCACATTCCCACGAAAATCCCTCCATCCTGCCGATCTGCCTCGTCATCTGGAACACCGCCACTCGCTCTTCTTCTTGTCTTGGTTCCAATCGGTAGGCAAGAGCGTCACGGTTTATTTCTTGTTGTACCGCATCGATGAGAGTTTGAATTGCATTTGGAGATGCCAGCACAATTCTGTACTTGGTCGGGCTAACCAATGCGGGCGAAGCGTTACCGCCATTCATCGTCGCTCTCTGTTTAACCTGTTACCCAGCATATTAGCACTCTAGCTGAGATCATTACAAAATTCAAAAGACAATACTACTATGAGCTGCCCCATGCCGGACGATTTGTCAACACGGCACCCCCCCCTTCTTCGTCTGCAGGAGAAATAGAAGCCTTGCCCTGCTTCGTAGTGCACGTACCAGAAGATGCTTGATTATTTGAATATTTTTGTAGTTGAAAGAAGTAAGAAGTGTTTAAAAGACGTGCATGCGGCAGTTTCTAGCAGCCAAAAGGAGCAAGACGTGCGTGGGATATTTTCTTTGCAGTTGAAAGAAGCGAGAAGTGGTTGGGGTAATGTCTTTGTAATAGAAGAAAGACGTGTATGGGATGTCTTTGTAGCTGAAACAAGCAAGACTTCTGTGTGATAATGTGTTTTCAACTAAAAGGAGTAAGAAATATTTGGTAGGAGTGCGTAGGAAGTATAATGTTTAAGAAATGGTGAATGGTGTTCCGGTTAGCCATCTATCGCGGGAGGTGGCCTTGGTTAAATACCTACAGCGCGCCGACCTGATGTCCCGTGTCACCAACCTCATCAGCTTAGACAAGACATTCTGTCGGACTTTTTGTTCAATTGATTAGACTGTCCAACTGCAGGTGAAAATTGAGGACCTGTATGTTGTGGTAGCTGCGCTGTCACCAGAAACAGGGCTCCGCATATAGCTGCTCCGCTGGGCGAGTCTTGCCGATATTTGCCTTGAAGAACATCCATTAATACGGAATGCGAACTCTCGCTCAATAATAAGAAAACATACGAGGAGCAGGATAACGACACATGCTCCCACAAGGCTTGGCAACACATGCTCTTTTGATAGGCACTCGGGGCCTCACCGATTCTCCACACTACAAAGACTTGACAAATGCTTTGAGGCGACAAGTCACTGCCAGTCACGCGTTGTCGTTAGTGTTTATTCAATGCAAGTTGACTGCGGCCTGCAATATCTTGACGTGTTGCGTGATATATCAGTCATTCTTACCTGTCCAAGGTCAAGTTGCAGGTAGTGCGGCGTGTAGCAACCCCCCAAAAACGAACAGAATGTTTACTAAGTAAAAATAAGAGAATACGGAATATTCTTGCAAGATTTGTAACTAATAATAAACCTCCATGTAGAGCTATACCTTTAGTAACTACACTGGAGACGTCGTACGCTCATTCGCATGTCCTTGTCAAAACTGCTTGAACTTGGCGGCGTCCATTAAAGTGCGCCAATTTTTTAAATTTTTTTTGTTAAGATTCCTTCAACTAGCTATGAAAATGTGATGAGCCGTGAACTTGGCCATGCCGGAGGTAAGACCAACTATTGTTACACCAACTGGCGGCCTCCTAGCCATGGACTAGAACGAGAATTTGCTCCGATTCGAAATTCTCGGCTAGAACAGAATGCGAACACTGGTAAAACTGCTCAGAAATATCACGTCTGCGCCTTAGGCCACAATGAAATAAATAAATGCGAAGAATGGGGTCTAGAACGGGCTGTGCGTTCAAGGGGGTCTTTGACTGTTCACTCAAGACACTACTCAAACACGCATGTCGAACAAAGGAGGAATTTGTTGGTTTCATTTTTGGTGCAACGACCCGCGTCTCCAGCTTGCGGGTTTTCATGCACACTCGAGGTCTGGATGGCCAAGGACCCTGCTCAAAATACTTCTACTTGTCGACCCAGGCGAAGCCCTTCGTCGGCTATAGCATCAAACATGTTGTTGAGACAAATATGTTCATTCACGGTCTGCATAAATGCGGATTTTGTCCGCTGTCACAACTAAAGATGGAGAAGACTACTCTTAGCCACATATATTGCAAGGTCTTACAGCAGATATCCTTTCAATACAATCGGCTCTGACGGCATAACACCACTGCTGTTGGTAGTGCAGGCCACGTTCCGTGCATGTACAAAAGCCCGGCGCCACGACGCTCACTCAAGCTCTGAAAAAACATTGAACAGAGGAAATGTCGCCACTCTCTTGGCAATCACAGGCCTAACAAGACTATTGTGCGCGCGCGTCTTTACCTGTCTAGCCAATACATACACTTGACTGTGTTTCCATCTTCTTCCCCAACCTTCGCTGTTGTCTTGCCGGTGCTGGTATGAATTCTTGACAAGGGCTCTTAGCGAAAGATTTTCTTTGGTATCAAAGGTCCTTGCGACAAAGGTCCCTTATTTATACATACAAAGCGGCCGTGATTCCGTCTGCTTTGGTTCGATCAGCGCGAAGGGAGCCGGGGCTTCAAAACGGCCACATCATGGAAGTCGGCCACTGCCGTCCGCCTTCTCACACGCAAGATTTTCATTAATAGGACTCTGTAATTCCCCCAATATTTTTTTTATTTTCTCTCGATTTTCCACTCCAGCTCAAAGCCAGCTCAACGATCCACCCAGCGGGCTCAACCACTCTCCGCCCTCATCAACCTATATTCCAAATTTACACCGTACTGACTTGAACTTTTCTGAATACACCCACACTCCAGTAAGCAATCCTTCAGGTGACTAAACTCCGACCTGGCCTCCTCATTCGATCTGCTATCGTCCGGCTTCATCTGAAACATCACGGTGTCGTTGATTTTAAAAGCGAATGCATAGCTTAAATTTGCCTCGCGTATTTTAGATTCCGCATAGTCGCAAATGGTGGGGAGCGCATTCGGTGAGGTCACTGTAATAGTGAACTTGGCCACATCAACAATGTCCTCTTTGCCAGTCATTGTCTGTTTTTCTCTGTCTGGCCTGTAACCTAAAACATTAGCATTCTCGCTGATATTATTACACAATCCCAAAGACACTAATCTGGCGGCTATCGCAGGCAGGACGATTTGTCTCGCCGGAATTCCGCCCTCTTCGTCTGCAGCAGAAATGAAAGTCTTAGCCCTGCTTTATATTACACTTACCTGGAAATACTTGATTGCTTTAATATTCTTGTATTTGAGAGGAGTAAGAAGTACTTGGTAGTTGTGTATGTGATGATGTCTTTGTGGGTGAAAGGAGTTGGAAGAAGTTTGTAGATGTGTATGGGAAATATGTTGTTATACAATAGGTAATAATTTTCCAGTTTGCCGTCCGTCGAGGGAGATGGCCTGGATTAAATAGTCCGTCGGGAGAGTCTCGCCGTCAGGGGTCTTAAAGGACTCTTCTAGAACGGAATGCGAACACTCTCTCCACAACAAGAAAACAAACAAAGAACTAAAATAAAGATAAAGTCTCTCCCACATATTGCATGATACATCAATAGTCATTTTTCACTGTTCAAGAATATGTTCTTTGGGGCATTCTCGGCAATTTCACAGTTCGCCCGGAATGTAGTCCGTGAATGACAGCCACAAAGAACGAACATGGACCCTTCTAAAACATCCTTGATCCTTGTGGCATTCACAAAAAGGCGCTTTTTGCTTCACAGATTCATTCAACTAGCTATGAAAATGTGACTAGCTGTGGTCCTGGCTACGTCAGAATATATAATCTCAACTAATGTAATGCTAAATTTATACCAGGGGTAGTGAATGTTAATTGTACCTACGCCTTACGCAGTTTAGAACTACCCAAACAGAAGTCCCGGGAGCAACCTAATAGACATCAGTTAGGCCAACTTGGTACTGCAAACTAGCGAAAGGGCTATTAATAGCTACGCAATATCCATCTAAGCAGACTTTCGCCATGTGGCTTCCAAACTGACGACCGCAGAAGCACGTACTATGAGCGCGTCATCGACGCACACACATAAATGAGACGATGATTGATCACAGAACGTATATGATTTAATATCACATTCCTCACCTCTTCCAAGGAGTTCATCGAAAGAATTTGTGCGAACATTGTGAATACATGCTTCCTAAGAAAGTCTCTTAATCAGTTGCCTTTCAAGAGTTCGCTTGAAGATTCAGAAGAGGGAGATCATTTCTTACCGTTAAAGTACACCCAGAGCTAATAGTGCACGAATCTCCTGCTGGCAGCGTCTCGTGACCTTCTTTGTGTATCCTCTCCCTTCGTTTCTCGTGGCCTGTGGCTCTGCTGCGTGACAACGGCCTGCTAAGTTGTGATAGTTGCTTTTTCTAGGGCTCGTTAGAAGGGGCCATGACATGGTTTTTCAGGGGGATCTGACTGCCGAGGTAGGGATAAAAGGGCCAAATTTGCAGGGCTTCTAAAGGCTACCTTGTCCATTGATTTTCATCCATTCAATCATTTCAACATGGCTATTTCTGTTTCAAATCACATGATTCCTATCAAGACTTTTTACGACAGTATGCCGTTTGTTACGTACTGGAACTGGGTAATTAGGCTATATGTTGAAGCCTCCCGCAGCTAGTAAGCCGGATTTGACCTCTTTTTATAGAGCTTGCAAGCTAGTAGTAGCTTGCAAGAATAAAGCACACATATTACACGAGACGGCTGCTCTAGATCGTATCACTGTTGGTTGCATGGGTTTACTAGAACCGAATGCTGCTTGTTAGACCGCTTTGGTATGGGAGCAAAAACTCCCGACATATTCCGGTTGCAATTTCTTATGTAACAATATTACTAATGCTCACGTTATTTAAAATGTACCCCTTATACCACTTGGCGATTCTGCAACCAGAAACAGCGATATGAAGCCGGTCATAATCATTTTTTTTGTCATTCAAAATCTTTTATCTTCGGAATGGAATTTAATGACAGCCGTACTGCGGGAGTATTTTATACCTTCGCAACTAGCTTTGTCCTTTGGATGTTTTCCGATATTTAGGGTGAAATCCTTGTTGACAGTGACTGCCTGGACAATAACGACACCAGTCGTCATTACAGGGATCAACACGCACCGTACTAGCTACTCGCTGCTCAAGTAGCCGTTGCAATCGAGCTCTACCAGCAATGAGGTCTATTCGATCCTTTAAAGCCTGGTTATGAAAATGTTATCAAGACAGAGGAGATAGGTTCTGAAAGTAAGGACGGGATGCATCAACTGCCGGTTCGTTCACTGGCATTGCACTGGCGTCAACCACTCTACAGGATCATCTTGTATTCGTCGAAGGCTTTGTCATAGGGATAACTGAGGGGATTTGTGGCGAGGCCTCGAGACCTGATGCCACAGCCGCCTAAGGCTTCCGACGAAGTCTTCGAGGACCGGTCCATGCTCCGATGCCGTGTATGATTTCTCTGGGTGCCAGACAGCATGATTTTTGAACTAAACTTTTTATCTTCTTTGACTAGAACCGCATAGCCTCTTGATGTTACTTTCCTTGCTCTCTCGTTACTTTTGACGTTCGCTCAAGGCAGAGTCAAAATGCCTCGGCAGGACACCTACTCTCATCCGAAGTCATTCGAGCTGCACCAGACCCTTCCAGTCCTCAGGTTTTAGTGCATGACGGAACTTTTCCCACACTCTATCTCCGCGAAAACTATTGGTTCTGTGGTTTTCAGAAAAGTTGGGTGACAGAGGTCGTTGCGTGATACTACGCTTACAGACATTTAAGAGCCCATTGACGTCTATGCGCTCAAGCTCTGGGCTTTCTTCTTTTGGGGGCCTTGTTCGGTAGGCTTTAGTCTCACTCTCTAGGGCTACAGCTATTATTGAGCAAATTGTAAGGTGGAATGGCCTTTTGATGTCGGAAACGCTGAGTCTGATGATATATTAATGATGCAAGAGTTGTTGGCTGGAAAATCACGTAATTTTGCCGCCTTTCTATAGCTGGTCGGAGCCTATGAAAGCCCTGTCATGGACTCCTTATTTGAGTTCTGATTTAACCCCTAGGACAAGCAGTTATTGTGACCAACCGGCTCAGAATAATATGTTTTTAGCCCAACATCACTACGCCGTGGAGTTGACACTCCCTTGTACGGCGGGCTGAATCCGTTCCTGCCAACGGATATAAGGGGGTATAATTGCTGTTCAATCAGAGCGCGTTGTTGTTTTGGTAGCTACACTCTGTGATGTGCTATTCTGTGAGAGATGAGAATCTGAAATGTCGCACCTCTCAATGCTGGAAACTTTTCAAGGACAGTTATGCTACTGACTGAAACTGGAAGGTGGGCGAATTCAGCTCGCAGGGCTCTTGCCTTCTTTTTCCCCAAAGGGCGTAGGCTAATTATTAATATTGTTGTTTTAGGGGAGTCCTCAAAGATGATGCATTATCACCACACAATTTCTCGTTTCACAGAAGGCAAAATACTGAGTTACACACTATTGCGCCCGCTAGCACGACAGTGCAGCGTTGGTCCGAATGGATCTAGTAGAGGATTCGGAATTGAGATTCGGTTTTAGTACACCGTCAACTCATGATGTCAATATAACTCTCAGCAGGTCCACAACTTGCTGCTCTGTCATGCCCGAAAGCCCCAGAAGCCCCAGAAGCTCGTTGTCCGCCAGGCATAGGGTGCGAACGTTTCTTCCTCTAGCAGGCCCTTGGCCACGGGCTCGTCGGACTTGCAAGTCAGAGTGTCTAGGCTGACGCTTTCAACCGTCCACGGCCTGTCCCCATCCGCCTGCCTTGTGAGCTTCAACAGTTTGTTTTGCTTTAGTTTGACGTCTTGGACGTAGACAACGCAGTTACTGGCTGCATCAGGTTGCGATAGAATAGCCACGATAGCATCCGTCATGGTGTTCACAGCCGTAGTGCTGAATAGGACGTTGCCGCCGTCAAAGATGGAGGCCTTGCGCTCTGTAGCGTTGGGGAGGAATTTTTGGAGGATGCCAAAGTCGAGAGGAGGGCCGTTATTTACGATGGTGTACGTCAAATATGAATTTTTGGTCTTCTCAACGAGTCAGTCCATTATCTTCTACTTCCTCAGCGAAATGACGAAGCTTGCGGATGTTGGGCTTGTTCGAGTTGGACCCCAACTCTGACGGGAGGAAACGCTTGACACCTGCGGCGATGGCGGCGTCGACGATGTTTTCCTGCTTGGGCTGGGCATGGAAGCCCAGCACGGCAATAACAGCGTCTTGGCCGGCAAGCGCTGCCGTCAGCCAGTCGACAGAATCAAAGTCCACGTTGACGACGTCGACTTGGTCTGCGAACTTGGAAGTAGAGCCATTGCGCCCGAGGACCCTGACTTTGAATTGATCAGCTGCGGTCAACTTTTTGAATATAGCGGAGCCCATATTGTCAACCGCTCCGACAATGCCAACGGCCTTGATAGTTTCAGACATGTTGGAAAGACTTGTTGGTGTTGACATGGGAAACGGGAGCTGGACGAACCGTTTCTCTCTTTTTTGTCCTATGAAGGAGACCATCGTTCTTGTGGAGGATATGTATAAGTCAGCTAGCAGTGGCAGTAAAAGAAAGTCTACGGCCGAAGATGGGCTAGGATACGTTGAGATAATCTGAAGGTTTCGTACGAGACTGACTCGCGGTGGCATACCAAGAAAGCAGTGTGCCCACCCCGTAATCTAATTTATCGGTCAATGTGGGTAAGGTCATCTGTATCCTCTGCTTACATCACCGCATTTGGAATTAATAAGTTGGGTTAAGCCAGGTCAGATTACAAATGCGGCGTGACACAAGAATCAGAGGTATTTCCGCTGCCATCTTACAACCCCTGGTCTATCTACTACTACTCACGCCACACAAATTGCGGTCAGACGCCTCATAGGTCGATCCAAATAAACATTGTACGTAAATGGCAATGGAAAAATCCTGTCATTCTGATATGTCACGATTTAACGACACCAAGTAAAAGGAAAATGCCACTTCCACTAGTGCCTGTTCTAATTAAACCCTATACACCTCTTAGTTGTAGATGCCCTGTAATTTTACCTGTTAACATGATGTCTTAAGCTGCGTTCGCCTCTAGGTAGTTGTGATGCCATCTATACTGCCATGGACCAAGCGATGGACCAGAGTAAGGCGGCCGCTCTTGGAGATTGGCCCTGGATTGCTCCATATGCTAGACTTGTATTCGAGAAGTCTGCTTTCTCCCCAATTCCCCCGTTCTTTCTGTTGCAGCGACTCTCACGTATATCTTGATTCCCCTGTCACGTACTCGGTAAGAAAATTGACCCAACAGAAATATAGCTCCTAAGATTGCTATTATCGTTGTATGTCTAGTTTCACCCATCTTGACAGTTTAATTACAAAAACAAACATTTCTTATTTAATAGTACTCCATGGACGGCTATATTCGGTAGCTCCCCAAAGCCGAGAAAAAAAGCAACGAACAGCTGGTGTTGGAGTCAACCTGTATCAGATCCTTGCAACGCTCTCTGACGAGGTTCTGGGCAAACGCACGCTGCTCCAAAGCCAACTGATGTCGCCAAAGCCTCCGGCTGTCTACATGGCCGTGGTCGAAATATTAGAAAGTGAGAGAAGCAGGCTATAAATAGAGCAGAACCGAAAAGTCTAGCCTTCTTCCCAACTAATAACACGCAGTCCGCGAGAAAGCGAAAGGGATTTCTGCGTGGGTGGCCTGTCAAATGTATAATATATAAGATCCGTCTATTAATTGGCAAGAGACATGATTAGCAAAGCTTTAGTTAAAATTGCGATGATGTAGCTATTGCGTTTAATAATTTGTTGATTTGCTGATGCTTATTATCTACCATGTTTATGTGCCAAAGCGTATCTTTGTTGCTTGGCCATTCCAGACTTTCTGTGATCTCACACTGGCCTAGCCGTTACCATGGAGATCTCCCCTATTACTGCGGCTGTAAAATAAAAACCTGGTTGAAGATGTCGTGCAAACGATACGGTGAATGGCTCTGATCAATGGATGGCATTTACCCATAAAGACGGCCACGTAAGTTTTGCTGTACGTGGTAACGGCCATTCGGTTTTCCTATATCATCTACAAGCGTTTTCATAACCAAGATTAGTTACGCGAAAATCCGCGTGTGTGACATAAAAACGTAGCCTCAAGTGCTGGCCAGGACGGCAAGAGGTCCAAACGCGCAATGTGGCACTTAATCAAAATCGGCACGTTGGAAAGCAATGAAGCTGGCTGTAGCTTCCCGATTTACCTCTTTCATGTAATATAGTAGGAGTATTAAGTTATGAAAAAAAAACCCCAATAAAAAAGGGGGGGCTGAATGAAGGGCATCTGGTAACATCGTATTTTGGCTGTACCTAGGTCAGGGAACAGTAATTAGCCATGGAAGACACCATGAGTAGACGCATCGCGATGCGTCAGACACACTAGCGGAATCGGTGAGCATCTCGGTATAGGGCGGTTAACACGCGATAATGATACGCTTTATTGGCGTTGTTTTGGCAACGACGTCGCCATCTTGAAGCTATCAACTCCAATTGAAGGCCATAATATCCGCTATGACAGGTTGCCGGCCAAGGACTTGGAGTCCAAGGTCGATTCCATTGAGAAGCATATGACTTCCAACTTGGACTTTACTTTCCCCATGTCAGATATTGATCAGTGCAATGGTGGAAAGTTGATTTCTGGCCCCACCGGATAGGGGAACAGATGCATTTCAGTGTCTGGAGAGGCTTACGAGCCTAACAAGCAGGATTGTGCATATTTTTAAAAAGCCCTCACCTGCATGGCTTAGTAGAGACAGTCTATCAGCGTATGCCTAGCAAAAGTATGCACTAATGTTCTGTATGTTTTATTATAGAGTGAGATAGCCGGTATCTGGTCTGGTCAAATACCTTTTGCCTCTTACTGTATATTGAGGGCGAGTATTGCCCGTAGGGCAGGTTCCTTCTTCTTCTTCATTACACTTCATCACCAGCTAACTAGCTCTATTCATGGTTCATCGCATCACGAGCTCTTGTGACCTCTATAGGGTCCTCTCGCTTTTGCTTCGTTTCCCTTGAACGCCTACCGCATGCACCTAGTATTCTGCATTTCCCGACCTACACAGCCAGATACTTGAGCATACACCAGGCACAATAAGCCAGAGGATCACGTCAGGTAAAGCTTGCGTTGAGTTGCTGAGAGACAAAGGACTCAGGCATGTGCTGCAATTGCTGGTGACCGACGATGTGGCATAGTGTTTATGGTTCTGCTGTCAGAGTTCTCAGTTGGAAGAAGCTAAATCTCAACCTTGGCATGGACAAGATAAATCAAGGACTCGGCTATTTATGGACAGTCGCTTTCCAGCTGTGGTACACTGAATCCCATCCCACACAGTTTTGGCATTCTCGTTGTCTGTGTCTTTGCGAACAGGGACAGAAAGCCCGTTGACAAATGCCGATGTAGGACGTCATATCCGCCAACGAGCGGCAGCCAATTAGTTGGCTGGGATATTGCCCAATTAGAATTCTTCATTTCTTAACTTTGATCAGGCAGAGGGCGATCGGCTCCGATTCTGGGCCAAACACACCGGTAGCCTGGCCGGGGATCATGGGATTGCCCCCGAGTCGCAGATTGATAGCATCCCTTGCTTCGAGCACGACCAGCATGGTCAATCACGATGATTCAAGGGGTCTCACATCCGGAGAGGCCAACAGCTATCTGTGCTTTTGCAGTTCGGTGGTCTTTTGTCCTTTTCTTTTTATTGCGCAGTAACCCTGCTTGCCACGCACTCCGTGGATCGGTCAACTCCCAAGTTCCGAAGCCCAAGACGGACAGAGCTAGTATGGGCACTCGCCATGGTTTCACAGGTGAATGTGCCTTGGGCTCGGATCCGAGCATGACTGTCTTCAACATGCATGTGCGGAGTCACACCATTGACCAGACCGCTCCTGCGCCTGGCGATGCCCATTAACATTCTTGCATTACAAATGCACAATTACATCTTCTGAAAGCAACTAATCTAACTACATTCTAAATCGCGGAAACATTGCCAACATGCCAGTTCTTATTCTACGAGCAGGGCAGGGATAGGCGTCTACTTTCTGCTAGCTTTGACTACTAGCGTACCTGCGCATAAGCTCTAGCTCCCAAAAGATTGATCGGTTCAATGTTACATAACTATCACAGAACCCAGGTTGCAGAGTGCCAGAAAAGACCCCGTGACTCGTCAGCCGGCATCGCCATGTATCTTACATGGAGAGTATTGCACCAGTGCGCCCGGTCGGCCCCCGAAGTGGCGAGCAATGGTCAGGTCGGTAGATGACTCGCCCAAGGCAAACAGGAATATAGTAAGTTACGAGACGAAGAAAAGTGATGGTTGGCGCGCCTTTCACCGCTTTGCACAAGCGGCCCTGCTAAAAGCAGGCTGCATGACGTACGTCGCGCAGCACATGTCGGCTTGCCCTGGAAAAACAGGGCATCAAGTGTCATCGTGCGTCGATCGTCGACCGATCGCCACACCCCAACGGTCGTGGCGGACGTCCCTTGGATGGGCGTCGTCACTGCTGGGAATATTATTCTACGGGCAACGGTTGTATTCTTTGTAGCGGTCAAGATATAGATGGACATTCTCGCCACTCTCGTAAAAGGAAACGCTGCAAATCCTCCCGTTTATATACTTGGCACCCTTGACAGAGATCAATATCTGTCGAGCCGCAGGCGAATGCATACCATTTTCCCTCTTTGGGAACACACCACCATTGTCACTGTCACCCATGTCGTCTCGGCGCCGGCGTCATAGTGGACCACCTCCGCAACACTTTCGGGGAGCAAGCTATCCCGATGAGCATTATTGGCATCCGTCTGCCTACCCTCCCAGAGCGAATGGTGTATATACGGATCGACTGCCGCCGCCGCCTTACGAGCCGTCTTACCCCCGTAGCGAGACATGGCCGGTGGACAGACCCGAGGTGGATAGAGGACGCGGGCGTGAACGAGGACATCATTCAGCCCATACAGCTTCTCAGGAGGGACATGAGGCACGGAACCCCCGGCATGGGTATGAGGAGTCTCGGAGCCGGAGGCCACGACGGCCACGCTCGCACGACAGGATGAGTGATGGAGACTCGATTCGTGGCCACGGAAGAATACCACCGGGGCCAAGCAGCACACGACGAAGCAACTCCGCGTCCACGTCGGCGCCTCGAAAACAAAAGTGGCAGACCACAGCGTCCCAGTGGTGGCAGAACCCCATCGTCCGAACGTGCGCCATCACCGCCGTGTCGACCGGCCTGTCAGCCGCGTTAGATAGCCGCGGCGACCCCGGACAATGGAAAGGGGCAAAGGGCGCCAAGGTGGCCGTGGCATCGCTCGGGTCTGCATTGGTGGATGGATTCCTCGGCCAAAAACACCCCAACAGCGTCAGGCAGCAGGTCGCGAGGAAAGGTTTCCAGGTGGCCATGGAAGAAACGGAGAAGAAGAAACAACAGCCGGCGGAAGCACGCAAAGACGACGCCCATGGGCCCAAGGACCACGGGCGTCGTCGGCGCAGGCATAGTGAAGGGTCAAGCAGCCATGGGCGGCACCATTGAGGCGAAATTGGACAATGACGTTACGAGATTATGAACTGATGTAAGCTATAGTACACGAGCAGCCTTTGTTTTGAAACCGGTCCTACGCATGACCTCGGCGAGAATCATGTTAAATTGCGAGCCGTTTATCTCTTGCTTTTAGAAGCTGTTCATCGTGGATAGATCCGTACAAGGGGACATATTTTAGTAGCCCCCACGTAGCGTATATCTAGTCGTTGTGCATGACTCCCATCACGGTGGTCTTCCCCCATTCCGTTCCCACGCACTGACGAAATCAGCGAGCAAACCATCGGGCGATGGACCGCAAAGTAGGGTCCAGTATCTGACTCGTGTTTAGACTCAGAATCCAGTGGCTGAAGCTTATCTCAACGGCACTTAATGACGCATAGGCCTGAAACTGGCCATCTTCAGCCACAAAACCTACCAAGACAAGCTTCACACGGGCGTCGACGGGTTCAGGGCCGTATAGCCAGGTCCCGACTCCTGCCAAGGCCTCCTAGCCTGTCGATGCCGAGCGAGTCCAGTCCCGTTGTCAATGACATGCATAACTTCCAGAGGCTGTCTCAAAGTCGCGTCGTGATGATTTCAGAGTAAAATAAAGCTATACACACGGTGGTTCTTCCCAGAAACCATCCGCATCCATTACTTCATTTGTTTCAGTGCGAGCTACCATGACGACATGCCGCAAACTCCAAAGCCACCTTCTGCCGGACATCCACTTGAGAAAAATTCACATCAAAGACCCTCCCGTCTCACCCGTCAATCTGCCGTGGCTTGGACGGCTCAGATCTGCGGTCCACTTGGCGGGCTATGACGACCGCGGAAGCGTTCTGTAACAGACACGTATCAGACATGCCGGCATCGACGCGGCACGTAAAACCCAAAATAACGGGTTCGGAACACTGCCGCCGGGAGGGGGGCCATCTCCAATCGTCCGGAACTCAAGTTTTGTAGGAGCGGCAAAGAAATTCCATGGCAGAGACACCGTACATACCGGGACATTAAGGCAGGGGATACAAGAGAAGGACTCTCGCTGTAAAAACTCCTCCCCATCGATTTTTTGTACTTGTTACGTTGTGTCTGGTTCCTGCTTTTATATGTTGGCCGCATTGTCTTACCTGCCATGGATTACTACATTAAACGAACCGTTGAGCGAGTTCGACAGCGGCGCAGGAGCAGAGAGGACATTGAGGAGGAAATCAGCATTGATGAGAGTAAGTTCCTGGGCCCTTTTCTGATTTGAAGCACACGGATCGGAGATTTGGCGGGGGCGTCCTAGCTTCCAGTATTCAGCGTGGTTGAATGCTGAAACGTTTCTCTAGACCTCCATTTGGCTGCGCGGAATAGCATCGCAAACATGGACGTCTCGAGTGACGATTCGATTGCACCACGTGGATCCGCGGAAGATAAGAACGTGAATAGGTGGGTTGACGTAGAAACCCTCTGTCGTTCTGATGTCTGTGATGATGGTGGTGCTAATAACTGGCAGGATTTACAATGAGAAACCCCGGCGTGGGTTGGCGCAATCCGTCTCCTGGGAATAAAAATCGTGACGTTATGGAGTTTGGGATATATCGTCTGAGCTGGGCATGGTAAAAAGGTGCATGTGAGTGGTCTTTAAAAAGTTATAGCTCTGACACTTTTAAATTGGAACACTTCAACGTCGTCCGGATACCCTCTCAGCTCAATTGATGCTGCATCCCGTGTATCCCGTGAAACGTTACATGTCGTATTTGAACCTCTTCTTTTGCCCTCCTTCTGTTTACATGAATAGTCTGCTCTGTATCAAGATCCGTCTCGAGCCGACGTAGACATCCCGGCCGACCATGAGCAGTGGAACGTCGAATACTGAACCGGTCGAATCACGACACCGTCAAACGAGAAAGCATTGATGGCATGGCAAAAGTTGTTTATTGATGAAGCTTCGGGCGGAATCTTGGTAGATCGGTGGTGATCCCAGATATTTGCACACAAACCTCCCTTGGCGCCCTCAAAGAAGGGAGCAGTCACTGCAGCAAAGGACATGCAAACATCATCAGTTTGCTAGCGAGTTTCAACGAGTGAGTCACATATTCCGTCCTTTATCAGCACGTCGAACCTGTATCTCTTGGGTTCAGCCAAGCTTGTAAGCTCCAATCAGAAGCGAGCCAGCCAACCTAAAAGTGAGTCCTTGATGACTTGAACGGCGCCATTCTCAATAATGGTCTATCAAGGAGACCTCCATTTCGTAGCTAGACAGGCAGATTTAATAAGGTACCAGTCCACTACTCAATTCACACGAACCCGAGGTAACGGGTGACGACTGTCTATAGCATCGTCATGCCCACGACAAACAAACGCGAGCTTCAAAAGACATTGTGCCCAGCAATCTCAGTTTCTAATGACCATTCAAACCCAAGGTCACCTGTGAGCTTGCCGAGATATCGCCCCGAGTTGACAATCACTCTCTGGGGATCATTAGCAGCTACTGATATATTGTCACGTAGGACATGACTTGGCTGGAGGGCACGAGGGGCGATGATAGCTACTTACCGACTAGACTGATGTCACTGGTAGTCGTAATTTATTCAGCGTAAGCTTCTCAGCTTGTCACAAGAGATTCACCTGGTAAGGTATGGGGCCCTGAGGGCTAATCAGTAAATCATGGAACGTCGTGTGAATTTCACTGCGCACGTGCAAGCCTTGGAACAATAACCTACCCACCTCATTCTGTTTTCTACCTCAACATAATCGTCCCCTTCTCCGTTCTCCTTTGTCTCCTTGTCATCATGAGAAATCGGTTCATTTCTCGCGTCCTCCTACCAGACTTTGTATGGCAGGAAAACAATCCTCGCCCCATCTCGAACGAGATACCGCCCACGCCTCGACCGACGCACCCCCGAATACGCCGACTCTGGGGCATCTTGCATGAGTACCTGCAAGATTTCTCTCTGTCATATTGTAGCTGGGTCGGCATCCCCTTCGATAATAATGATCCAGCTCCCGTTTGGACTGATTCTGAAATGGTCTGACGGCACTCGGGTAGAAGAAGTGTCGGCGATGCAAGTGGCTAGAGCAGCTGGCTTCCCGGCCCCAAAAGTCATCTGCTATGGAGAGCATCCTGATGCACCACATGCTCCAGTGTCGAATTTAATGACCCGCTTGCCTGGAAAAGAGTTGGGTCAAGTGTATGAAAAACTGAGCAGCGAAGATCAAAAGTCGGTGCAACGAGAGCTCAAAGGCTACTTGGACGTGATGCGCGGATGGAAAGACCTGCGGGGTGGGAAAACAATTTCTTCTTTGCTGGGCACTTCAATTCGGAGCGTTCGCATTCCTAACCATTTTGCTGGTCCATTCGAGTCCGAGGAAGAATTCAACGAATATCTCATCCGACCGTCCTGGGCGGGTGGTTTCCCCTCCGAGGAGGCGTACAATGATGCCCTCAGTCTAGCCAAAGGTATGGGAAAAATATCACATAAAATTGTTTTTACCCATGGCGACCTCAAACCCCATAACATTCTGGTCAAAGGGGGGCGCATCATAGGCTTTCTAGACTGGGAATCGGCAGGCTGGTACCCCGACTATTGGGATTTCACGACAGCATTGCGGTTCACGCGGGACGACTTTTGGTGGTACAGCTTCGTGGTTGGCCTGGGTGGTAGCGCGTATTTGGCGGAACTGAAATGTGAGCGCGCGTTAACTTCTCTGACGAGCGCTTCGTATTACTAGTGATGCTGCACTACATATGACATGATATTGCTTAGAAGGTGGGAACTGCGCTTGAGCCGCGCTAGAGCCGGCGCTGAAAGAGTGCTTGTGCTACTTGGAATGGTAAACCTATTAAGACTCAATGGATCCCATGATGACCTCATGAGTCATATTCTCTGGCCTACAAGAATTATCAATTCTGAGGGTGTGATTACAGGAACTGGGTTCTAATCTCTGACCCCGATCAGAATAGCAACGGTAGTGACGAGACCGACAATAGTAACAAGGTAACAACGCTGACAGTGATAATAGTAATAATAGTAATGTGAGTCTCGCGATAAATATTTCTACTCTATATTATAAATTCGTGGAAAAAGCCTAGACAGTATAAACTCGCTTTGCATCTTCCAACCTACAAGAAGCAGCTTCACATCTCGTATCCTTGCTGGCTTGGTGCGTCCCAACCTTCTACCAGTCAATCTCCACGTGAATGGGCTTCATATCGTTCTATTCATCAGGAACATCACCCGCGAGTCTCGAGTGATCTCCAATGGAGTCCCAACAGGCTCTGGGGGAATTGCCGACTTGGCTCTAGCCGTGCATGGATGACTGGATGAGCCGCCTTGTAAAGGTCGCGCGAAATTGGTAAACAGCCAGATGGTAAGCACCGTATCCCCGGAGCCTAGCTTCACTACTGCTGCTATACAATCTTGCAGCGATATGCGAAAGTGGGAAGATGCCGCCAAATGCTTCAAGGAGAAGCGGCGGGAAAGACTGCCGCATGGTAATCGTCACGAGGCATGCGACGACGATGCGGATCCGCTCAATTACCTGATGCTATCGAAACTTCGAAATGTCATATCCTAAGGCCACGATCTGCACACCGGCGGTAGATTATGTCAAGCAGCCCCTTCATCAGCACTGGACTTTAATGTGCCATTCAAAGTGCAACAACATGTTCGAGTCGCGCGCGGATCAGGCCTAGATTGCCCGAATCAAGCTATGGTAGGTAGAGTCTGTAGTAGCAGAGTATATTTACCCTTCAGGAAGTGTACACTAATATATTGTAGTATATCATAGTGAAGAGCGCGATAGCGAGGTACCTAATCTGGTCGAAAAAGACACGTACCTACCTAATAGCGCGCCAAGGGGGTTTCTGGTGACTGTCCTCTGGCTATCATCTATTACAAGACAGCTAAATAGAATTTTTTACTCGATACATAAGACTTCTAATAGTTGGTGACAATTTAGGACCTGTCTTATGCTGTTACCAGAACCAGGGGCCGCGCGCGTAGGTACTACTTAGGGAGGTACGTACTTTTTGCCTCCCACTGTGATTTTCGCCTGTGGTGCGTGAGCCGGTAGTTACCGGGGAAACGCGTGTGTGAGAGAACCAGGGCGGGGAAATTGGATAATGCGCACAGCCATGTGTGGAGCCGGTCCCTCCTCTTCCGTCTCTGTTGTGAATAGCTCAATCAAGGCTTTGTAGTATCAATACGGAGTATACAGAGAGAGATTCGTATCACCTGATGCCAAGGTGCCCTACTTGGGTTGGGCGACAGAGTACAACGACAATGGAGCAGCAGGCAGCGCGTCAACCCGACTTTGGGCGCTTGGCGAGCAACTTTAAGGATATTGGCGAGCAAGTGCAGCGGTTTGAGAATATACCCGCATTCGAAGGCGGGACACAACTGATGAGGAAGATGGATCAGATTTTAGAGGCAGTCACCGAGATGCGACATGAGATAAATGGGTTTAGGACCGAGATGACCGACATGCGACGTGAAATGACCGACATGCGACGTGAGATGACCGACATGCGACGTGAGATGACCGACATGCGACGTGAGATGACCGACATGCGACGTGAGCTGGATGGGCTCGGTCTGAAGATGATGATTACGTGAGTGGCCGTCATATCGGTAAGAGGAGAGGACTGACGATTTGTGTTTCTGGTGCAGGGACAAGAATTTCCAAGCCCGGATGGCGAACAGCATTGTGGTGTCGGGAGAGATGACCTTGTCGCCGCTGTACAATGTGACGACAGGTGAGGAGCTGTCTCACTGTCCGGAGACGCTGGCAGATCTGGAGCAATGTGATGGTACGTTGGTCATGACCTGCAAAGAGATGTGAATCTGACATGTGTACTGGACTGTAGGGGACGTCGCGGCGGCGATACTACGGGAATTGGGGGAAAGAGTGCCGCGAGCACACGAGCAAAGGAGGAGGCAGTTAAAGTTGACCTTTAGAATTCGAACACGAATGATTTAGTGTCTGTTGGATTGTGTTGCGTTCTGTTACGACCTAGTCAAGAGAAAGCACACCACGTGATAATAACGTCAAGAAAAGGCTATATTTAAGATCATAGGAGTTGGTTTCGATTCGACCCCTTAGCAATTGGATCCAGTTCATCTTATATTTATCTTGTATTTAGGGAACGTGTTGCCAAAGTGCTGGGAACGACGCGGCTAACAACGAATTTGTGAGTCTAAGAGTGAGTAGCATCTTTAAGAGATGTTTTATATATCCAAGGCAAAATATCAAATATAGTTTACTTTATTGTTTTACTTATTTTGTTTCTATTGGTATTTTGAAATAAAGCGTAAAATATCACGTCAGGCAACAAAGTAGTACCTGAATCGTCAACAATCTAGGGAAGACCAGACGTTTTGTGCCGCTGCACAACTGGAGATGGACTTGACTTTATGTACTAGTCTGGCAGAATATACTTGCCTGTCAACAAGTATACACCAATAGACCTTAGGATATCGCGGTATAGAGCGCGACAGCTAGATCCGTAATCCGGCTCAACATATTTTGCCTCTTACTGCAGACTGAAGGAAAACGTAAAGGGACAAGACGGTTCCACATGCTCCAATACTCGGACACCAACAAACTCGTACATGATCAATGCAACTTTTGGCATTTGTAGCCAGGGTATATTTCTATATTAAACCGTTGATTTGCCAACATACACGCCTATACAGAGTTCGCGCCTTCATTCCATGGCGCCTAGTGTGTCCCTGCAAGATTCGTCACCCCTGCAGACGAGCCAGATCTTCCAGACAAGCCGTGAGCCCTATCAAAGCAGCCGATTCCATGATTCGTGTCGTCTGATCTCAACCGCACTGCATCGTTGAATCAGGCAGCGACGGGGCTTACAAACGCAGAGTCCGGACTTGACTCAACGATAGCTGAAGCCGCCGTAGGCGTAGAACGGATGTCAAATATTCCCGTTGAACCCAATCAAATTCGTCTTCATCGCCAGCCCCTCAGCTAGGTTTAGCCACCTTCCTCGACTCGCTCAACCCCGTTTCGGGATCCTGGTACTCCTTCCAGCTCACGGGCACCATGTCGTTGCCGGCCTCGCTCGTCGCCATGATAACACCCAGCTCGTTGGACGCGGTGGACAAGTAATAATTGGCCTGGTCTCCCAGCGAAATCTACACGCAAGACAAGTCAGCCACCTGATATCCAAGAGTGATCGGGCTCACCAAAAACAACACATACCACCTGTGCCCGGACAATATCTCCCGGCTTGAACGACTCGTACATCTTGACTTTATCCTTCTCCGTGGCGCGCACGTCTTGGACACGAATCACGCCCTGCCACTCGGTTTGGAGAACGGTATCCCCCACCTGCTGGATCACGACAATGGCCTGTTTGGGCATCAGGCGCACTACCCGCGCCAGGACCACATTGTTCACGTCGGGCAGGATCTCGCGCTTGCGGCCGTGTCTTGCGACGGAGAGGGTGGGCAGCTCTTCCGGGGCGGGAGCGGTGATCTTGTTGAGCCGTTTCGCAGGCCCGGGGGGCTTGGCGGGCGCCGTTACGCGGACTCTGCCGAGGAGCGAGGAGACGACGTTGCCTTGGTGGATGTGTGTGCCCGGGCCGGGGTTGTATTTTGAGGCAGGGCCGAGGATGTTGCCGGGGACTGCGACAGACGGCAGTTCGTCTGCAGCCATGGCTGGATCCTGCTTACTGGCTCGTGGGAAATGACTGGCGTGATGCGGCGCTGCGTGACGTGCCGATGGCTTGGAGTCGTGAAGCAGTGTGCAGCTGAAGCTCTCGTGAATCATGGCGTAGAGAAATCTGTCAATGGTGGTGGGGCAGATCAGAGTTGAATGGAGCTCCACCGCGCGGCAGCTGCCCATCTGGCACAGCGGAGTGGCAACCATTCAAGGCTGATTCTCGATATAAGCTCCATGTCTGGCCTGCTCAATGTCGGCCGTTCGAGCCGGGTGTTTGCATTTACGAGCATGGCCGTTTGGAATGTGCCGAGCGCTAAAAAAGACCTGACAGTAGGCTTGTCATGGAGATGGGACAATACTTGACACTTGTGGTAATGCCCGGCGCCCGGCTCGGTCAAGACAAAGTGTCGGGACCGACGGGAATACATAGTCCCGCCTATCCCTTATGGATCATTCTGCCTTGGCCTCCAATACGAAAAAAAAAATTAAAAATTGGCCGGGTTTCGTACAGATGCTGTTTGCGGTGTAACATTCTGTCAGCACACATTGGCCTATAAAAGTCGACGTGACTGAGTCTCGAGTGGGGGGGGGACGAATGGAAGCCCGATTGTGCCCGTAGCGGCATGTGGAGGGATCTTGAAATACACGTATAAATTGACAACATGCAAAACAACCACGTACGCCAAGGAGTCCAGGACGACCATGGTGGGCCGGGTTTCGCTTTTGGAGGGGTCCGGAATCCCGTCCGGACTTAGAGTATAGAAGATTAGCAACTTTACTCCGTATAATGTGGAGGGCGACACCCCGCCAGTGGCTAAAATTGACCAAGACATTACGGAAGAATGATGCCTGGACTTTGGCACTTGTTAGTTTGGTTTGTCACTCGGGCGTGTTTTGTGATTCAACGTTGCCCTTCTTTAGATGGGAATTGAGGACAAGGAGGAAACGATGGCTTGTTGGTTGCCGGGTACATCAACCGCAAGCGTGATGCTGGGGCTAAAGTCGTGGGCAATGAACGAGAGACTTCGTGCGGCGTTGTCACCTCTCGC